GATCCTGCGTCCCATCGAACTCAGGGGGTTTCGTGTTGCTGAATTCCCTGAATAGTAACGAATCACCCCCTTGCGGCCTAGCAGCAGCCACAGCTACGGTAGCGTCAGCGACTGCAGCTTCAGTAAGTGCGGCGTACCGTTCCTCAAACTCCTCCATCAGGGTGGTCTTAATAGACCCAAACATCTCCGGGATCTCAGCCCGAACCGCCGCAGCTGCCTCCTCCTGAATCATCTGACGAATCTCCTCGTCACTCGCACCGCTCGAACTCGCCCCATTGCGTGTGATGACCATGATGTCTCTGAAATACAACATAAAATCATCAGAGACTCCACCAAGTACTATTGTATTCGATACGCACCCTACTCAGTCTCCGATTTCCAGGGATTCTTACATGGGTCATCCACCGATCCGGTGTCTTCGGTAGTACGGGCCCAATACTACCGACCACACCGTATCAGTATTCGTCCCAAATCTTCCTCCCCAAATCCCGAATAATGAGTACTCTACCTCTAGTATGCACTATCTACTTGCACGCTACCAAATATCTCATATAAGCAATCTCCCTAGACTAAGGCATCACGAAACAGGCCATTCTAGTCCTATCATGTATACCTAGTCTTCTAGCATGCATAACAATTCATAATTCAGTGTATAACATAACATTGTAAGGTATTCTGGGGATCTTTACCGTTCGGGCGCTGGCTGATCGTACACACTGCTTCGTTCTTGTTTTTACCGCTTTACCATTTATGAAATGTTATGTCCTTATTATTTTAAAAGATTTTTCCTCAAATCCTCGGTCTGAGTTCAGTTGCACCCGAAAGTACACCCGAATCCCTCAAACCAAGGCTCTGATACCAATTGTAACAGCTCAAATTTTCAAATAATTTTTTCATTTAAAATAGAACAACATTATTCGACAAAAGTATTTATTCCAAGTTCATTTCAAAAATACAAATAATGAATTCCCAAGATCTTCAACTATGGCAGTGTGTACGTGTCACGCCGGCGCCTTCCCACGGTCATCACTAGTACCTGAAAAACATAAACACAACTGGTAAGCATAAATGCTTAGTGAGTTCCCCAGTATACTACTTACACACATACGCCTTTCCAGGCCCTGACCTTCCGGTCCACATAACATTGCCTTCCGGCCCGTAAAATAATTGCCTTCCGGCCCATAACATATCGCCTTCCGGCCCGCATTATATTGCCTTCCGGCCCATAGTATATTGCCTTCCGGCCCATAACATTTATAAGGCATAACACATATAACATAACACACATAGCACATATATCATACATCATACCTGTTCCTGCTATCACATAACATATTGCCTTCTGGCCCGGATAAACATACATAACATGTATAGCATCTACCTTTCCAGTTATAGCATAAATCACATATATCACATACGACCTTCCGGTCACACAGTCAAACCCTTCCGGGTGAAGTATAGTGAGAAGACTCACCTCGTAGTATGCAAGCTATAAACCCTTGGAGCTACTCGTACTCGATCCGTTAATCTGTAGACTCCCTGGAAAACGTGTTCCCTGTGTCCCCAACCTTCAGAGCTCAACCCCTTGATCCTCCTTTGATCACCACCTTGCCTCTCCTTGTCTAACAACCTCTTCAATCTTCCACTAGCCTTCACCCTTGCTCCAGATGCCCACAGTCGTTTAGGTTATCTTCAATCGGCCAAAAAGACGAGACATGACGGCCCTAAAGACATTATATACGATCCAGAATCAAAACGGCTAGGGTTTCAGCTGAACAGCGTTGACTCGCCGAGTCCCTAATGGACTCGTCGCGTCCAGTCGCGAATCTGTGACCAAGACCGTGGTCCTACTCGGCGAGTCAGGCATCAACTCGCCGAGTCCCCCCCCCTAAATATTTCCCAAATTAATTTAAAGTAATACCTGAAATTCCGGGCTGTTACAGCAATGAACTCGGTTGCCCTCGACATCCTTTTATAGGGGCTGGAACTTCGAATTACGGTGGGCGTAATATGAAATTACACTGGGCGTAATGAAGATAGGGTCGCTGACTCCCCCATGGATAATATCGGTTAATATATATTTAAATTAGATATCGAAAATATTTAATAAACTTCAAAAATTCATATCTTCCTCATACGAACTCCGTTTTTAACGTTATTTATATCCACGTGTAGGTGAGACTACGATCTACAACTTTTGTTTAGACTCCGTCGGCTAATTTTGAATTTATTTGTATTATTTATTTTTAGTAGGCCGGGACAGGAAAACTCCGTTATAAATTTAGAACTTCTTCATCCGACGTCCGTTTTCGTCTATCTTTTTATCGTTTTACTACTATTAACGAGACCTTCGATTCTCATTTAGATTGTTTCGGCTAAAAACCGCTCGATCTCGAATCGAGTATTCGGGCTGCATACAGCTAAGTTGAAACTTCAAAAAATCATAACTTCCTCATACGAAATCAGAGCTAGGCGTTCTTTTTATGCACGCTCTCGGTTTAACGAACTCTACAACTTTCGTTTAGATCACTAAGGATAAATATTGCTCTAACGTAAATTTCACTTTTTACGTCATTCAACGTTGTCGGTTCTGTCGCGAAACTTCGATAGGTCATAACTTCTTCGTTATAACTCGGATTTCGGCATTCTTTATATCTTCGGAATCGTTGTTTCGACCAATACATCTTTATGTAAAGGTATCGGGCTTATCTCATACTTTAATTTTGACACTTATTTTATTCTTAATTCATTAAATTATAATAATTAAGAAAATAAACACATAATTCACATAATTCACAAATATTTCATCATTAATACTTCAAAAAAAGAGTTACAAGGGTTAAACTAGACTATTACATCAATGATAATGCCTAGCCTGGAAACGCGGGCGTTACAGTAAGCTAGAAACTTTTATGCAGAGTAGGATGTTCAAAGGAATGTGCTTTGAATATGAAACTTCGTATCTATGGAATTGCCTTGCAACAATCTCCGATGGAAAGCTTTGTAAGTGGCAAACTCTTTGTGACTTCTGTACGTAGTCATTACAGAAGGATCACTGCATATAAGGTTAGAATCTAATAGATTATAGTAAGTGGCAAGGACTTGGTATTCTCACACTTACGATAAGGATTTGGAATTGTGAAATGAGTTTCATTAAAAATGTTTACAATTGATCTATTTCACAAAGTAAGGACCATAGGTAATCATAGTGTGCATGCTTGGATCATGGGATAGCTATTGTTTTAATTCAAGTATTAGTTGATAAATAAAAACATTATACAATGAATAATGTGTAATCAATATGGTGACTAAATAAAAGGTGTTTTATTTATATTCAAAAGTTTAAGACCACATTGGATTAGATATTTCTTGTGTTTCAATTTGCATGTTTTTACTTCCCAAATAATAAGATTATTCGAACCATCCATGGCCGATCATACTTTGGAAATAGGTATTGAGGCTAGACTGTCATGAATTGGCTTGTAGATTGTCTAAGGCGTTAGACATAGCAAAAGTTTGCTACACCCATTCATGAGTACTCCTGAAATAAGATTTGAGTATTTGATTCAACCTGCGCTCACCTAAATCACTTCATGGAATTTATCATGAGTGATTGTGAGACGATAATATTATATAGTCTTCAAACCGAGATATATGAGTTGTTGACTATGAGTTGGGTATGCATTGATGATACAAAAACACATCAATAACTCGATGTGATAAAATGTATCGTTGTGCATGATTTAAGTTAGTACAAGCATATAATGTTGAAGTTTATCTGTTCCTTTTATCCTAAGAGGATTAAAAGCAATATATTGGGCCCCTCGATGATTCTATTTTGACTTATGTGCCCGGCCCGGTCAGAACTAAATTGATGTGTTCAATTATGTTCTATGTTAGACGAATCAGAAATTGGGAAACAAATGGCTAGACAATAAGTATGAGTATGTTCTATGTGTTTGTACGCATAGATATCTTGAGAACAGAGGAATATATAATCCCTTATCTAAAGGATGATTCACTGACTGGGTCAGAGTTCGACATCGGCTTTTGAAAGCTTGTGATTGCTAATCAGATCCTGAAGTTGCCTTTGCGGTTATAGTTATTAGACTTATCCAAGTGGCAGACTGTTGGATTTTGTGTCTAAGCCCATAGCTATAACCGAGATGTACTTGACTTGATTGTAGCATGGTCCCTTTGGGTTGCCTTCATCAGTGCAATTTGATAGGATAAACTTTTGAGAATAAGGCTATTTTTGATTTATTAATATATTATAAGTAAACTATATTAATTGAGAAATCATATTATTTAATTAGTATTGATCAAGAATTAGTTTGGAATTAATTTTGTGATCAAAAGAGAGTAATTAAATATATGGGGATTGATTGTAAATAAATGATTCTTATAGTGTGGGCCAATGATCCATGGTTATTTAGGATCGGCTAAACCAATGAGAGAATCAATGGATAGTCCATGGAGGTTTAACCCATGGAGCCTAAGTAATATGAAAGGTCATTAGGGTTTGCAAATATGTAACCCTAGCACTATAAAAGGAACCCCTCATGACCAAAATTGGTTACACCATCATTCTTTGATTTTGATATTGATTTTGTGCCAAGTAACTTATTCTCTCAAGCCTCCTCTTGAATCTGGTGTTTGTGAACCATTAGAGGCCTCACACTTGAGGTGCTAAAGCTTTTGAAGGCCAAGAACTACAAGTACTACTAAGAGTTAAGTTATCTACCTAGTTGTATTGTTCAATTGTCAAAATTGTATGCTAGTTAGGATGTATGCTTTGGAAAATCAAATTGCATGTATAATTATAGAAAACATAGATCCAAAGCATCTAGGGTTGCATGTGTACTTAAAAAGTGTTGTAGTGCTCAAAACCCAACAATAATGATGATCGTGGCTATCGCTAGATGGGAAAGTGGAGGCCTATGATTGTCTCCATGTTTGTTGGGGCATTTCTCATGGGGAGGAGAGGATAAGGCACAATTATGCCCCTTAACCACCATACTAGCGGGTCCATGCAGGCAGAGGCCCGAACTTGGCCTTGGCCTGGATATGATCAAAATATAGGTAGGTCAGGCTTGGTACTAGTTTGACTTTTCTTCTTTAACATTTTTCTGAGGGATACGTTAACAAGTCCCTTAGGTGTGTAGGCATATGCGTTGGATTGCTAGATTTGCCGTTCGAGCCTATATTACAACACATGTATGTCTGATATTATCTTTATCATTCGATAGACTTTAGACTGCATCGTTGATGTGCGTCAGATCCATCACGATACGGTTTGTGACACCATTTTTGCCTTTAATATCCCCCTTTTACTCAAGAGCTTTCACCTTTGCCTCCTTTCCTTGCTTTTGTTGTAATGAATCATACATTTTTTGAAATTTTCTTTTTTATCATTAATCTATACTTGACGATGGACCATTGCAACATAGTATCTACCATAGAGGAGTTTCGACTACTGCAAGAACAATTTGGTTTCTTACCGGAGCAGGACATGATAATTCTGGCGAAGGGATTATCGATCTATAACTGCCCTTGAGGGAAAGTTCACTGTTACTCTATTCGAAGCAGGGTTACACTTGCCAACGTTTTAGTTTTTTGATATGATCGTGCATCATTACGGCTTTTCAGTTGATGAATTAACCCTAAGTGCTGTCAATAAGACCGTAGGCTTCGAACGGATCTATCGATCTCTGGGTTGTATACCCACTTTTTGGGTTTTCAGTTACTTCATTTGTGCATCTATGAACTCTAGTGTCCGCACATTGGCGAATAGGCGGGTCATTCACCAGTTGATCTCTGAGCAAGATACTCCAAAAAAAAATTGGTAAAGAAAATGGCTCCGGGTTAACGAATCCCTGTGAGGCACGGGTTCCATAAAACCCGAGACTTTCCCGACTGTCTACTCAAACTATTCTGGGATAACCTAACTCTTGGCAAGCGGATGGGAAACAATACTGCCATCGGGGAGAAGTAGAAAGATTTCATCCTTGTTGCAGCCGGCATGAGTGCTGCTTAGAGGGTGTGTGGGAAGATGGCAAAATTATTCATTGTGAGATGTGGTATTTACTCGTCTCCTTCTCCCCCATTTTTTATTAAAAGAACAAAATATTTTATTGGTTTGTTAGTTCTCATGCTTGGTGTTTGTGTTTGCAGGTGCCGAAGCCAAGATTTCCTTCGAGATGGCCCTGCGTAGTTACTATTGGGGTAAACTTTGTCATCGGGAGGTTGACCTAGTGGAGACTCTTCCCCTTCCCGTATTTGAGAAATGTATGCGGGATCTCGCTGGTTTGCTCTAGACGTAAAGAGGAAATATTGGTTCTTGCGGACTTGCCTTGCCTTCTCAACTAGTTGTTGGGTTCATTTTCCTAGCCCGATTTCTGGCCTCTGCTTCTACTGATGATGTTGTGGTGGGTCAACCAGGAAAAGGTACTACTCCTATCCTGAAAAAACGAAGTGTGTGTGTGATGCTGTCGTCGGATGAGGAGACCAAATCTGATGACTTCAGCCTCTTTCCTCGTAAGATTCGCAACATGATGTTCGTGCCTAAGCTTCTTGGTGATATTGGGTATGTTCTTGGTGATAGGTTTTTTGTGCTCGGGAAGAAAGAGATAGTGGTGGTGCCCAGTTCTTGAAAGACATTGCCTTCTCCGTTTACTGGCTCGTTCTCATTAGATTCTAGTGCTTGTTCTATGCTTGGAGATATATTGGGCGTGTCAGGAGGTTATTCCCCATCGAACAAACCTTACATGGTTGATGAAGTGAGAAATGCATCCCATCCCTTGGCTTCCGAGGCTTATGTTCCAATATGGGTGGTTACTAAAGATTCCTTACTTTTGGAAGACATCGCCGCCCAGGAGTAGAGTAGCAGTGCTCATCCATTGGCCACAATGAAGTTGCTTGCAGTCCAATTGGGCGCACGCATGGCCGGTGACCTTGTATATGCCACTGATCAAACTTCTACCCTTATTCTTGCTGCCACTAATCGAGTTTTCCGCTTTGGCATAAATGAAGCGTGGTTCAAAACTTTGCAAGATGTTGTTGTTAACTTAAGGGAGGAAATCCGTGATTCAGAGGCAGAACGTCGAATACTATCCGGGAAAAATTGTATTGTGGCCTGCATGAAGGCCACTTTGGAAGATCATGGGCAAAATTGCATTATGGCTTGTAAGAAAGCCACTTTGGAAGATCATGTGGCCATTCTGGAAGACCAAGCATAGCGACTCTAAAATCAAGTGAGTTCTCTAACTTGAGAGAAGGGTGTTCTGGCGAGTGAGTTAGTCAGATGCCAACGTCAACTGGCCTGTGCCCGGGTTGACGGCGCTGTTACCCAAGGCAATTGCAACGAATGTTGGAAAAGGGGGTGGTCTGAGTAATCGATAAGGTTATAGAGAGTGCGAAATTTGCTAGTGGGATCCAAGGCATAAAAAAAGCGCGAGAAGCACTTGGACTTGAAAAGGGTAAATAGTTAGTCCGTCTCCCACAACTTCTAGTGAATGTCACGCCATGGATCCTGGCCGTGTCTTGAGAAGAGCCGAAGATGTAGATATTCCTCTTTCTACCCTTGCTAAGACGGATTTTGCAGGCCACTTTTGACTAGGGGAGTTGGATTATGACAGCTTTCTCCAGTCTGTCGTAGGACAGGTCCAGGAAGTTCTTCCTCGGACTCTAGTGGCTGATTTTTGTTTGTCCATTTTTGTTCATTCTGTAATGTATCCTTACTCCCTTGTATTGTATATGCAATGAAAGATATTGGTTGTCAACGACTAAGAACTGTGTACTTTTCTTTGTACTTTGTATATGAATGCTTTTTCAATATTTGGAATTAACCAGTGATATCTTTAGACTAGTGTTATTTGACATTTCTACGGTAATTTTTTCTACATATTCCCTTGTGCTAGGGTTTGCTCTTATTAGCTTAGTGTGTGTTTCAAACGTTTTGTATCCACTACTTTTATCTTATATGCTTTCAACGATTATCGACCAGTAGGCTTAGTCGAGTTTTTCACGTAACTTGTAAGATATTAGCCTATGTTCTTGGCTATACTCTGAGGTTTAGTTACCTATGTTTTGGCCGAGGTCGTCACCTCAAGGTCTTTTATTGTCTGATTTTTAGGGGAAAGGTTATGAATCTTTTTAAGACCCCTTTTTTCATGCCATTAATTAAAATTTATACATTGTCAGCGCTGAGATGTTATTGGAAAGTTTTTGGTAAAGATTATGATTCTTTGAGACCTATGGTTGAATCCTTGCATAGATTTTGCTCAAGTAGCAAAGGTGATCAACCGTTGTTGCTACTTGGAAAATATGCACAACCCTTTTAGTTAGTTTTTTTTCAATTGGTTAAACAAAATTCTAGAAAGCTCTTTCAAAGCAAAAATTACATTGATTACTAAAAAGAAAAATATGAAACATTAGACTATAAATGTCTAAGTGTCAGGGCGAGGACCTAGCCTCCATGCTGGCACAGGGAGTATGGTTATCCTATGGGTATTTTGACCATACTCTCCCCTTTTTTTGTTAGTCTTTGCTTTATTTTAGTTTGGGCACTATATTGTGGCTAGCCAGTCATAACTGCATGTCGTTGTTTCATTTCATCCAAGTGGTCCTTGTTAACTTGGGGTTTGTTTCTTTTTCCCCTGCTAGGTATTGGTGTGAAGTTCTCCCATCAACACTTTCCGAACCATCTGGTGCATCCAAGATGTAACCCGCCCTATTGAAGGTTATTCTTTTGGAACTGGTGTGATGTTGTTGCTATTGCTTTTCTTTAATATGGGTGATGTCTGCTTTAGTGATTTTCGACTAGGTGTGAAGGAGTTGAATTTCATTTTCCATTCTCTACTTACATTTGCTCTTTTCCTTGGCAATATATGAGCTTTGACCTTGGGGAGTGTCTCCCCTTGACTGGGTGAGAATGTCACTTTCCCTTTTCTGCGTGTGTCAACTGATCTTATTTTTCGCATGGTTGTTTGAGGATTTCTTGTTGTTATTAGAGGTCCTGTTCGGTTCTCTTCTATAGTGGAGCTTGTGTGCTAGAGTGATTGACACTCCGTTACTCTGTGTGTTATTACTTGTATCTAGCTTATTTATTTCAAAGGGTTTTGTTTCATCTCCAAGACTGGTGACGAGTTGATTCGATTCTCGAATCATTTTTCACCTAGGAGTGGCTTGGCCACTGATTGCGGGCTGGACTGACGCGCTTGCCCGCGAGTAGGTATTCCGCTATCTTGCAATTTTTCCTCGGGTTCTGAACTATCAATGGATCAGTGATTGCTTCTTTCTGTGAAAGAGATGTTGTGAGTCACGTGAATGCGTCTCTATGCCTTTTCCTTGACTTGTTGACCATCATTTGTGCCATCGCTGAGCTCTTTTGACATTTTTTATTTTTCTGAAAACTTTCGTTTTGATGCGATTTGGTTTCTTGCTTTGTTTCTTGTTGGGTACTACATTCGTTATCTGGCCTTGTTGCTACGGTCGTTGCCGACCCAACTCTTATAGTGAACTTGAGGATGCCGTGGAGGGTGGATGGGATCGCTTGTAGCTGGTAAAGTACAGGTCGGCCTAGTGGGATATTATGTTCTGCTGGACAGGCAACGACCCAAAACTTGAGTACTCACGTTATCTGTTCTGTTCCGTTGTGACTGACTAGTGTGAAAGGGAGCATGATTGTACCTGCTGGACAGATGCCATGACTAGTAAAGCCAACTATTGGATCCTGTTGTGGTGATTGGAGGTACTTTTTCCATTCGATTGGCAACCGCCAAAGGTAGTGCTCATAGATTACATTGACCCTCCTTTTGTTTACAATGTATACATGCTTAACACATTTCGGATCAATGAACGCTATGATGTATAATGGGTCATTCGGATCCCAATGTTCTGGCCTGGGATCACTCATTGAGAAGGCTATGTTAAGCACGTTTTGATTGTATACCATCGCGCTGGCTTGTTGGCTTTAGTAGTTGCTGCATGAGCGAGGCCCGGTGATGGTTAGTATCTCTGGCCGCTTATCATGGTCTTTTACCCCCGTCTTTTTGACTTCTAGGTTGGTGGTTGTCCTCATCAAATTTGGTTCTGAGCTCTTTTGTATTGTCAATTATATTTCCAGGTTAGTGACATGGTGCTATTGAAATTCTTACCTTGCAAAGGTGTAATTCGCTTCACGAAGAGGGGGAAATTGGGTCCCGATATATTGGGCCATTCCAGGTTATTTCTAGGGTTGGCAAGGTTAGTTATAGATTGGATCTTCCGGAGGATCTCAGTCTAATTCATAGCACTTTCCACGTTTCGCATATGTGAAAGTACGTATTGGTTGAGGATTCGGTGGTATCATTGGATGATATTCTAGTTGATGAGCGCCTGAACTCTATCGATAGGCCGGTAGCTATTCTAGAAAGGAAGGTAAAGATTTTGCGTAGCAAGGAAGTACCTTTGGTAAAGGTATGGTGGCAGCACTGGAGGGGCTCTGAGTGTACCTAGGAGTAAGAGGCTGAGATGCGGGAGCATTATCCGGATTTGTTCACCGCAACAAACTTCAAGGACAAATACTACTCTAAGTGAAGGAGAGTTGTAACATCCCAACTTCCAAGTATGAGAATTATTCTTCTAAGTATGTATGTCGATTGGAACATTGCGTGGTGGAAGCCTCACCATAACGTGTTGAAGGACTTTGGGCCGCGTACTTTTATGGACCAACACGTCGTGTTGGTAAAGGGAAACTCCGTGTGTTAGCGGCTAGATGAGAAACCCTAAATTTTAGTGTTTTGCACCCTATATAATCCCCTTAAGTCCCTTGGGTTGATCTTTTATCAACCTCTAAACCCCCATATCGACCCTTGTGAACCCTAATCATTCTTCGCTCTCTTTTGTGAGCTAGTGTGGTATTTTGGAGCAAAAGAAGAAGAAAGTTGGAAGAAGGAAACAAGAATCTAGCAAGGAAAGATCTTATTTTCAATTTGGCACACTTTGGACCTTTGCGTTTGAGTCTAGAGTTGAGATTCGGAGTCTGACCTTATTATTTCTGGACTACTTGTGAGGTGAGTCTTCCTCACTATACTTTTGGGTTAAAGGCACCAAATCCGGCCCATTGGTTTGATAAGCTGATATTGTATGCTGAGTGTGGAGTAGATATGCATTCTAGTTTTGATATAGTAGTTTGATAGATCTATATGACTACCTGTGATACTGGCTGTTAACTGAATATGATATTATTTGTTATATGTCCACATATGGTATGGGTTGGGTTGAGGTTATACTGCTCCGTGTTATAGCCAACAAACCCTGGAGCATAGCAGATATACGCTGAGGGCCAGGAAGGGCATGCCAAACTAATACTGAGGGCTCATGAGCATTCCAAATAGGACCTGAGGGCCAGGTAGGGTGCCAAACTCGTACCGAGGGTCGGGGAGCAAGTCAGACTTATGTTGTGGGCTCAGGGGTAATCCAGTATGTTAGGTGTGGACCCATTGCATGTTGTTATTATATTTGTGCTATTTGCTATGTATTGGTATTTTGGGGGAACTCACTAAGCTTTGGTCTTGTAGTTTTGGATTATGTTCCAGGTACTTCAGAGGATCGCAGGAAGGCGAAGGCGTGATCATGCACATCCTTAATTTTTATTTCACAATTTTCGGATTTCTCTTGTTCGGTCTGTTATGTGTTACGTCTTGGGCTCGTTCCTTGGCCCAGTTTTGTATCCGGATTGGGCTTATCCATCAGTGATTTAATTATTAGGGTTTAAGTATTTATATATTCTTGCATGCATCATGGTACGTAGCTGTTTAGTCGATCATTCATAACGATTATTCTTTTCTATCGATTGTAACCCTAAAAGCCTCTACAACGGAAGTTCATCATCGAGCTCTGCTGAGGCGTGAATCTATTGAATCATTCAACTCATTGTTGATTCATTCTCTTGTTTGTTATTTTGTTTGCATGATTCTGATTAACCTGTGTAAGATCTAAACGATCAAAGAGAATTTTTCATCTCATCAATTGGTATCAGAGCAGGAGGCTTTGTAATTCATACACATCTCTTCTGTCAAAGAAGTGATTAGGGTTCATTCCACATTCATTGATATTTATTGATTCGTCACTCCTTAATTGACGTATCTCATTAATTATTAATCTTTCCCTAATATTACATATTACAAAGTCTGATCTTATAACAGGTTAAACGATCAAGCATGGACGATTCTTAATCCAATTCCATCAACATCTC